ACTAACTCGAAGGGAGCCAAGACCTACACCGCAAGGCTTGGCGATCGGATTCTTTGGGACCTTCATGAGGACAGAGATGTCTACAACGAGATGTGGCAGATCCCTGTGGTCCCAATGCCTAAGGAGAGGCAAGTGGCAGCAAGCGTCAGCACTAAAGGTGGAGCGATTGGTAGCGGCGATTGCGCGGACGGTCGCGCTAAGGAGAAGGAGTCCAAGAAGTGCAATCTTGGAGGGACCAGCAAGTTCAGTGAACCTAAGGAGAGTGGTGCAGCAACCAAGGAGCAGCAAAAGGGTGAGGAGAACCCCGAGGCAACAGCGGAGGAGGACTACGGAGAGAGTATGTGGGGCGCTATTGCGAGCGCGGCATTCTCCAATCCAACTTCGGCTACGGGGGAGTGTGATTGGCTCACCTTGCATCGGCGCATGGGGCATGTGGCCCTGCCCATCTTGCAGCAGCTAGTCAAGAATGAGATGGTTGCTGGCATACGTGTGAAGGGGGAGCCCGATGAGGTACTTGGCTGCCCGACGTGCATGCAAGCCAAGTTCACCCGTTTCCCATTCTCTAGTTCGGAGGCAACGGCTAAGGCACCACTTGATGAGGTGGTGATGGACGTGGTGGGCCCCCTGAAGCTTGGAGCTGCTGGAGCTGAGTATTTTCTCACCATTGTTGACGTCTACACCCGCATGACTTGGGTGTACGTGCTGGCCAAGAAGAGTGACGTGGCTGAAACGTTGAAGGCGGATTGGTTCCCGATGGTGGAGCGGCAACAAGACCGTCTAGTCAAGTCAATCCGCACCGATCGAGGGGGAGAGTTCCTGAGCAAGGAGTTTGGGTTGTGGCTGAAGAAGAATGGTATTCGGCACTCCCTCACCATGCCATACTCCCCTGCAATGAATGGCATCGCCGAGCGAGCGAACCGCACAATCACGGAGGCGGCACGCGGGTTGCTCATTGAAGCCGGGCTACCCGACTATTTCTGGCCTGATGCGGTGCGGAGCGCATGTGTGGCCAAGAACAGAGCCTTGACTCATGTGGGAGCAGACAAATGGGTGCCCTATGTGGAGTGGCTAGGAAGGAAGCCAAAGGTGGATATGCTTCGGGTGTTCGGGTGCATGTGCATGGCGCTTGTGCCTAAGCATCTTCGGCACAACAAGCTTGGTGCCAAGGCGGTGTGGGCCGTGCACTTGGGCATGGCTCAAAACAACAAGGGATGGCTTCTTTGGGACCCATTCACCAAGAAGTTCTTGGTGAGCAGGGACTGCAAGTTCATGGAGAACTTCATGTACAAGGATTGGAAGGCGGAGAATGAGGCGAAGATAGGCGTGCGGTTTGGGGAGGTGAAGAGTTCCGGTTTGGAGCATGTGGAGCTGCCTTTGGAGCTGAGCAGCGGCAGCACAACCACGAGGCAATCCTCCCTTGTGCATGGGGGAGAGGAGGCCACTGATGCAGAGGAAGAAGAGGAGGAGGTGCAGCAAGTGAGCGAGCGTGCACCGTCACTCCCTTCCCGTACCACGAGTGCTCCACGGAATCGAGCCACACCGCAGCAACGCCAAGGCCTTCAAGTCCCTGCAGCTGAGGAGGAAGGAAGGGGGAAGAGGAGAGTTCAACCCCCTAATAGGCTGACCTATGATGCACTTGGAAAGCAAGGCAAGACAGCCCTGGCCGGAGCGGCAATGATGGTCGGAGACGACGAGGAGAGTGACTACGAGGAGTGTGCCTTCGCGTTCTTCTCTCCGGTGGAGATGCCAGGAGAACCAGCAACTCTCAAGGAGGCTTTGGAGAGTAGTGATGCTGAGGAGTGGAAGAAGGCCATGGAGAGTGAGCTGAAGAGCATCGAGGAGAATGACACGTTTGAATTGGTGGAGCTACCGGAGGGGCGTACGGCGATAACGTCCAAGTGGCTCTTCAAAATCAAGTCGGATGCCGACGGCAAGATCGAGCGTTACAAGTCTAGGCTTGTAGCCAAGGGGTACCAGCAGAAGGAGAAGGTGGACTTCAAGGAGCTGTTTGCCCCTGTGGTGAAGCCGACGACGCTGCGAACCCTATTCGCGGGAGCCGCCATCAAAGGATGGGTGGTGAAGCAAATGGACATTGTGACGGCATTCCTCAACGGCATCCTTGAGGAGGAGATTTTTATGGCGCAGCCAGAGGGGTTTGATGATGGTAGTGGCAGAGTGTGGAAGCTGAATAAGGCCCTCTATGGGCTGAAGCAGGCCCCTAGGCAATGGTACATGAAGCTGCGCGAAGTGTTGGAGGAGATCGGCTTCACTCCCTCAACGGCCGATCACTCCTTGTTCATGCTTGGCGAGGGGGAACAGAGGAGCTTCATGGTGGTTTATGTGGATGACATTCTCATATTCTCACCCTCCTCTGACCTTGTGAAGGAGGTGATGCTGAAGCTGCATGACAAGTTCAAGTGCAAGTCCCTTGGTGACGTGAACTTCTACCTTGGGCTCCACATCGAACGAGACGTGGAGAAGCGGAGCATGCGAGTGCACCAACGGAAGTACCTGGAGGCGTTGGCTGCCAACTTTGGCCAGAGTGAAGGTCATGTGGCTACTCCCTTTCCCTCTGGGTTCAAGTGTGTGAAGGGGCCAGAGGAGGAGAGCGTTGGAGAAGAGGAGAGGCGCCGATTTCACTCGTTGGTGGGCAGCCTCATGTATGCGGCGGTAAACACCCGACCGGACGTCGCGTTTGCTACCGGGCAGCTGGCTAGGGTTGTGCAATGCCCTAATGAGGAGCAGGTAGCAGCTGGAATGAGGGTGGCCAAGTACCTTGGCCAAACACCGACCGTTGGGCTGCAATACTCGGCGGCGGCACAAAGGCGCCAAAAGGGCGCGGATGGTGTTGAACCCGGGCGTTTGTTCCTCACCGCCTACTCGGATGCTTCATATGCATCAGAACCAGAGGACATGACAAGTGTGGGAGGCTTCATATGCTGTGTTGGTGGAGGCCCAACTGCTTGGGAGAGCAAGAAGCAGGTTGACCAAGCTTTGAGCTCGGTGGAGTCCGAGTACATGGCACTCTTCCGTGCCGTACGGGAGATTGTGTGGCAGCGGCGTTTGTTGGCTGAATTGGGGGAGGAGCAGCAAGGACCTACCCCACTATATTGTGACAGCCAGGGTGCCATTGCTCTTGCTAAGAACCCTGTGTTGCATGGACTCACGAAGCACATGAGGGTGAAGTGGCATTGGACGAGGAGCATGGTAACCGCGGGTGAAGTTGAGTTGCGCTACGTGAAAACCACGGGGCAGCCGGCTGACATGATGACCAAGAGGCTGGTGGAGCAGCAGCATTGGAAGTGTTGCAAGCTGGCTAAGATGGCTCTGAACTGAGAGAGCAACATATCCGAAGGCCAACAATCCGAGGGGGAGTTTGTTGGTGCAACCCTATGGTTTGCACTCGGCTTGTTGTCCGTGTGCGTGCATGTGTGTGTGTGTGTATGGAATGGTATGAGGGCATGGGATAATATATATTTCATGCTTATAATTGTGTGTGAATGTTGAGTCATGATGTCGAGTGTATGTGTCGGGTCAATAGCGAGTTATCGCTAGACGCGTGTTACGCGGTCGTTTGTGTCTCGCGCGCGGTTTCTATTTTGTCGTGCGCGGTTTCTATTTTGTCCTGTGTCCAACGTTCGGTGTGTCGCAGGTGTGTGCAGCAGAACCATCAAGAACTCAAGGATGAGTTTGTGATGAAGAGCCCGAGCCTTGGTGTCAAGCCTCAAGTGATTTCAAAGCTCGCCAAAAGGGTACACCTCAAGATATTGAAGATAGTTACATTACTTTGTGTAGTGTAACATTTCACTTGGTGTAGGCCCTAGTGAAGGGTAGTTTCGAGACCCTTCGTGGTTGGGGACAGTGTGGCACTGTTCCACATCACTGTACCTCGGCTCTTGGGGTTTGTAGGAGCTGGGAGTCATTCCCAACTCGTAACTCTTCAGATCTCTTCCTATTTTGTGTTCTAAGACTATAGTGGCTGCCATAGTGCCGTTCGTTCAAACCGACACTGTGTCGTCAATACTTGGTCAAATCGTGCGATCTAAATTGCCTATTGTAGGCGACAATAAGACGCTCCAGATCCAAGTTGAATCAAGTCATTTGAAGCTGTCACCAGAACGCTATGAACGTTTGAAGCCGCTGTGCAGAAATCCGACTGTGCACTCTATCTTTCGTTTTAGGCACATTGGAGCCTACAGTGACTATAACAGCCCCGTCGCGGCCCAACCAGCCCCGTCGCGGCCCCGCCCCGTCCCGGCCCAGCCGCCCCGTCGCGGTCCGGTCGCCACGTCGCGGCCCCGCCGCCCCGTCGCGGCCCCGCCCCATCCCGGCCCAGCTGCCCCGTCGCGGCCCGGTCGCCTCCTGACGGCTCCTGCCGTCCCCTTCTACCGGCCCCGCAACTGCACCTGCTGGCCCCGCCGCTGCACCTACCGGCCCCCACCACCCCCCCCCCCCCCCCCTTTTCCCGTCGCCTGTCGAGGCGACCTGAGGGGGCCGCTTGCGGTGACAGGTGTGTGGCCTCCCCTGCTTCTCCTCCTCCTTCATCTCCCACTGCAGCTGCCGAGCCGCTCACCTGCAGCGGCCGAGCCGCCCCACCGCCGAGCCGCCCTGCGCCCTAGCCGCCCAGCAGCCGAGCCGCCCTGCCGCCGAGCCGCCGGGTCGCTGAGCTGCTGAGCTGCAGTTGCTGCCGAGCCGCCCTGCCACCGAGTCGCCGAGCTGCTGAGCTGCAGTTGCTGCTGAGCAGCCTTGCCGCCGAGCCGCTCGAGTCGCCCGAGCGGCCGAGCCGCCGAGCTGCCGAGCCGCCCGAGTCGCCCGAGCCGCCGAGCCGCCGAGCTGCCGAGCCGCCCGAGTCGCCGAGCCTACTCTTCCCACCACTGGTGAGCTCTTGCCTTGCTAGCACGCTGCGCGTCGCCTGCTTGCCTGCCTACCTGCCTTTTGGCTTGCCTGGCTGCCTGCCTTCCTGCTGCTAGTCCTGCTTCTGCTTCTACTTGCGGAGCCAGATGCAGCCCCAGCGACACCTGCGTGAGTCCCTCACGCCCCAGCAGCTGCGTGAGTGGTACGCTGGTTGGGGCTGTAGGGGTGGCGGCGCTACTCCTACTACCACTCCTGCTGCTTCTACTCGTGGTGGCGGCCAGATGCAGCTCCCGCGACCCTCTCGCGTGTCCCTCACGCCTCGCCAGCTTCGTGAGTGGTACGCTCAGAGTAGAGGGTCTCTCAGTGCTGTTCGCTGCTCCTACGTGATTCGCACTGGTACTCGGACTGGTCAGCCGTGTGGGACACCTAGTCATACACAGTCCCGCTGCTTCGCCCGTCTGAGCGACGCCTGGCGTACCGTGTTTGGCGACGAGGCTGAGCTTCCCGACTGGGTGGAGTTGCTTAGGCAGAGGGTAGATATATATGCTCTTGACTATGATGCTATTCTCACTGCCATGTATGCATTGCCTACTAGTGCTGACCGTGCCGGTCCCCTGTGCGTCCCGCCTGACCCAGGTATAGGACCTGCTGCTCTAGCTACTGGTGAGGCTGCTGCTCTAGGTGCTAGTGCGTCTCCTGCTCCAGGTACAGGTGCGGCTGCTGCTCTAGGTGCTAGTGAGTCTGCTTCCTCAGGTGCGGGTGAGGCTGCGCTCTCAGGTACCGCGTTGGCTTCGGCCTCCCTCTCCTTTACACTTGACTCTGGGGCTTCTCGCTCCTTCTTTCGGGACCGCACCACACTCACGCCGCTTGGTCGGCCGGTTGCAGTCTCCCTGGCTGACCCCTCTGGGGGTCCTGTCCTCGCTCACTTTTCCACTGTCCTCCCGTGTCCGGCTGCCCCCTCGGGCACCCTGTCTGGCCTGTACCTCCCCTCGTTCTCGACGAACTTGGTGAGTGGTGCAGACCTACAGGATGCGGGGGTTCACCAGTTCACTCCTGCGAGTCAGCGGGTGACCCACTGCACGGACGCACGCACAGGCCGGCACCTGGCCACGTTCTCGCGTCGGCCGGGGTCGAGCCTCTACACCCTGACCACTGAGTCTCCTCCTGTCCCCGCGTCTGGTCAGGTAGCAGCGTCGGGTCAGGTGTTTGCTGCTGCGTCCAGGTCTGGTCCTGAGTCTGCCCCCTGTTCGTGTCGCCTCCTGTCTCACGAGACTCTCCTGTGGCACCACCGTCTAGGCCACCCCTCCTTGCCCCGTCTTCGGGGCATGGCTTCCCGTGTCCTTGTCTCTGGTCTTCCCCAGTCTCTCCCTCCCCTTCCTTCGGGACCAGGACCTTCCTGTGTCCCCTGTGTCGAGGGGCGCCTCAGGGCTGCTCCTCACTCCTCCCAGTTTCCCCCGACAGAGGCTCCTCTGCAGACGCTTCACATGGACGTGTGGGGCCCGGCCCCCGTCCGTGGGCAGGGTCACGAGCGCTACTTCCTGTTGGTGGTTGACGACTACTCGCGTTACACCTCAGTCTTCCCCTTGCGCAGCAAGGGTGCTGTCACTGAGGTGCTGATCGACTGGATCCGCGAGGCTCGTCTCCAGCTCAGGAGGAGCTTCGGCTCGGACTTTCCTGTTCTGCGTCTGCACTCTGACCGAGGTGGGGAGTTCTCCTCTCGCCTTCTGCGAGACTACTGTCGTGCACAGGGGATCCGCCAGACCTTTACGCTTCCGGACTCTCCACAGCAAAATGGGATTGCTGAGCGCCGCATTGGCATGGTCATGGATGTCGCTCGTACGTCCATGATGCATGCGGCTGCCCCCCATTTTCTGTGGCCGTTTGCGGTTCGGTACGCGGCGCATCAGCTCAACCTTCACCCCAGGGTCTCTCGGCCCGCGATGTCCCCAGTGTTACTGTGGACGGGGAAGGTCGGCGATGCGTCTGCGTTCCGTGTCTGGGGATCTCGGGCGTTTGTCCGCGACTTGTCTGCGGACAAGCTGTCCCCCCGTGCTGCTCCCTGTGTCTTCCTTGGCTTCCCCCCTGACGCTCCAGGGTGGCAGTTCTACCACCCCTCCTCTCGTCGTGTTCTGTCCTCCCAGGACGTCACGTTCGACGAGTCAGTCCCCTTCTACCGCCTCTTCCCCTACCGTACTCCTTCCCTCCCCCCCCCACCGGACTTCCTGTTACCAGTTCCCCCCCCGGTAGACCCCCTCCCCCCTCAGGTTCCTGCCCCTTCAGGTGTGTCCCAGGTAGACACAGTCGAGCCAGTCGAGGTTGCTGCTGAGTCTGGTCCTGCTGCGGGTGCTGAGCCTGGGGGTGCTGCTGCTGGGGGTGCTGAGTCTGGGGGTGCTGAGCCGGGGGGTGCTGAGCCGGAGGGTGCTACGTCCGGAGCTGCTGAGCCTGGGGGTGCAGGGCCTGGAGGTGCGGAGCCTGCGCCTGCTGGACCTGGGGGCTCTCCGGTTCTTCCGTCTAGGCGGGAGCCGCTCTCTCCACAGGAGCTGCGCGAGTGGTTTGCTCGCCGCTGGAGGCGTGCTGCTGGAGCTGGAGCTTCTTCGCCTGCTGAGGGTGCTGGTGCTGCCGGTCCCGGAGCTGCTGGGCCTGCGGGTCCTCCTGGAGCTGGAGCTACTGAGCCTGGGGGTGCTGAGTCTGGAGCTGCTGAGCCTGGAGGTGCTGAGTCTGGAGCTGTTGAGCCTGGGGGTGCTACGTCTAAAGCTGCTGTGCCTGGGGGTGCTGAGTCTAGAGCTGCTGAGCCTGGGGTTTCTCCTGCTACTGCGTCTCGCCGGGAGCCCCTCTCTCCACAGGAGCTGCGCGAGTGGTTTGCTCGCCGCTGGAGGCGTACTGCTGGAGCTGGAGCTTCGTCGACCGTCGAGGGTGCTGGTGCTGCCGGTCCCGGAGCTGCTGGGCCTGCGGGTCCTACTGGAGCTGGAGCTGCTGAGGGTGTTGGTGCTGAGACTACTGCTGTCTGTCCTGGCGGTGGTTCTGCTGCTGGTGCTGCTGGAGGTCCTGCCGCTGGAGGTGTTGGTGGCGTTGGTGCTGTCGCTGAGGGTGCTGGTGCTGTTCCGGCTGAGTCTGGAGCTGCCGCGCGGCCTCGGCCGTACTTCGTTCCGCTCCTACAGCAGGTTCTTGGTCTTTCTCCTTCGGTAGAGTGTCCACAGCCTGTCCAGTCGCAATCCCTGCTGGAGTCTTCCTCTCCACTACCTGCTCCCTCTCCTTACACTGGTCCTACTGGAGGTCTTGCTGAGCGTCGTGAGCCTGCGTCTCGTCCTGCGTCGCCTGTTCGTGCTGCTCGCGCTAGTGGTCGCAGTTCGCGTCAGCGTCCTCCTCCTGTCCCTGGCACGCACCGGATGTCTTTGCGTCCGTCCACTGCTCCCCTGCGTGCCCCTTTGCCTTCTCCTCCTGAGTCCTCTCTTCCTGCGCTTGCCGACCCTGAGTCGGACTCTCTTCGTGCTGCCAGTCCTACTGTCACGCGTCTGCTTGCTACTGTCGTCACTGACCCCTCTTTTGAGTCCACTGCTGCGTCTGCTCTTGTCGCTGAGCTCGTTGACTTTGCTGCTCGCTGTCGTCTTGACTACGCTGCTAGTCTTGTTGCTGAGTCTGCGTCTGTCTGTCCTCCGTCCGTCGGGGGTGAGTGTGCTCTTGGCACGGACGTCCTAGAGGACAGGCAGGAGGAGTTACAGTGTCTAGCGGCTGCTTCACCTCATCTCGCGTCTGTACTGCTTGCCCCTGAGGGAGACCTGGATGCACTAGACATCCCGACTCCGCGTTCTTACGCGGAGGCCGTAGAGGGTCCCTACTCCTCTCAGTGGCAGGCAGCTATGGATGCAGAGATGGCTTCCTGGAAGTCCACAGGCACCTACGTTGACGCCGTTCCCCCTCCTGGGGCGAACATAGTCAGTGGCATGTGGATCTTCAGGGTGAAGCGGCCGCCGGGCTCTCCACCTGTCTTCAAGGCGCGGTACGTTGCTCGTGGCTTCAGTCAGCGGCAGGGAGTTGACTACTTTCAGACCTTCTCTCCCACCCCGAAGATGACCACTCTTCGGGTGCTGCTGCACATAGCCGCTCAGCGCGACTACGAGCTTCACTCTCTCGACTTCAGCACTGCGTTCCTGCAGGGTAGCCTGCACGAGGAGATCTGGCTGCGCCGTCCGCCTGGTTTCACTGGGACTTTCCCTCCTGGCACCCAGTGGAGCCTCCGACGGCCAGTCTACGGTCTCCCCCAGGCACCGCGTGAGTGGCACGACACACTGAGGACTACGCTTGCGGCTCTTGGGTTTGCTCCTTCTACTGCTGACCCGTCGCTGTTTCTGCGCACCGACACTTCCCTGCCGCCGTTCTACATCCTCGTGTACGTCGACGACTTGGTCTTTGCCACAGCGGACACTGCTGGACTCGCCTACGTGAAGTCCGAGCTGCTGAAGAGACACACGTGCACAGACCTGGGTGAACTGCGCAACTACCTTGGCTTGCAGATCACTCGGGACAGAGCACGCCGCACCATTACCTTGACTCAGTCACACATGGTGCAGCAGGTCCTTCAGCGCTTCGGCTTCACGTACTCCTCGCCTCAGGCCACTCCTCTGCCTACTCGCCACTCACTCTCAGCTCTGCCTTCGGATGAGTCCGTAGAGTCGAGTGGTCCGTATGCAGAGCTTGTTGGCTGCCTCATGTACCTGATGACCTGCACACGACCTGACCTTGCATACCCTCTGAGCATCCTTGCACGCTATGTTGCTCCTGGGAGACACCGACCAGAGCACATGGCTGCAGCGAAGAGGGTATTGCGCTACCTGTGCAGTACGTCGGGCATGGGGCTAGTGCTTGGAGGGCGGAGTCCAGTGGTCCTTACAGGCCACGCGGACGCTTCTTGGGCTGACGACCAGGCTACGCAGCGGTCGTCACAGGGTTACACCTTCAGCCTTGGTTCCGGCTCTGTCTCGTGGCGGTCTACTCGCTCGTCTTCGGTTCTCGGCTCCAGTTGTGAGGCTGAGATCTACGCTGGGGCCATGGCTGCACAGGAGCTTCGCTGGCTCACCTACTTGCTGACTGACCTTGGAGAGCCGCCTCGTTCTCCTCCAGTGCTGTACGTAGACAACAAGGCCATGCTGGCCTTGTGTCGAGAGCAGCGCTTGGAGCACAGAACGAAGCACATTGCTCTCCGCTACTTCCTTGCTCGTGAGCTGCAGCAGCGTGGTCAGTTGCGACTTGCGTACGTGGCCTCTGAGGCCAACACTGCTGATGTGTTCACCAAGGCACTCGCGCCTTGTGACCATCAGCGCTTTTGCACCCAGCTGGGTCTTGTGCCTGTCTTGCCTCACTTGCTCTCCTCTTGACTTTACTTGTACTGTGACTATATATATACCTGCTCTTGCTTGTCTAGCTTTATATATATGTGTCTGTACTCTTGCATGTGAACTGGCCTTTGGCCTTGCTCTTGTGCTCGGACTGTGTGGTGACTTTGTGATCCACCCTGAGCATGCTTTGCTTTGCTTGACGGGTCTTGTGACCCCTTGTTCTCCCCCACTTTGCCTATGGGGGTGTGTCAGATTATTATAGCTGATGCATGTTTGTAGGCTATAGTGGGGTAGCACATATGGGGTACAGCTTTCTAGGGTTGTATTTGTACCCAACTCTGACTTAGTCATTTTCATTCCTGTTCTCTTACTTTCACACTCAGATCTCGCATAGTACACGGAATCTAGTGGTCTCACTCAAATAGAAGGTAGGAAATATATTCATCTAGTGAACGTAACGGTTTGAAAGGTAACTAACGCACATGTGTAGAGAAAATGGTGCATCGGCCAGTCTGGCCGACATTTCGCACTTATAGTGCAAGTGGGGCGAGGGAGAACGGAAACGCTCGTTTCTCAAAAAGTAGAGGGAATCTAGCGGTCTCACTCGATCAGAAGGTGGGAAATATATAAATGTAATCAGCTAAAAAGGTTTGAAAGGTATCTAACGCACATACATGTATACATATATAGGGAAAATGGTGCATTGGCCAGGTCGGTCAGTATCGGAACTTAAAATGCAAATGCCAGGGAGAACGGAAGCGCTCAGATCTCGCATAGTATACGGAATCTAGTGGTCTCACTCAAATAGAAGGTAGGAAATATATTCATCTAGTGAACGTAAGGGTTTGAAAGGTAACTAACGCACATGTGTAGAGAAAATGGTGCATCGGCCAGTCTGGCCGGCATTTCGCACTTATAGTACAAGTAGGGCCAAGGAGAACGAAAACGCTCATTTCTAAAAAAGTAATGGGAATCTAGCAGTCTCACTCGATCAAAAGGTGGGAAATATATAAATCTAGTGAGCTAATTAGGTTCGAAAGGAATCTAATGCGTATGTATATGGAAAATGGTGCATTGGCCAGGTCGGTCAGTATCGGAACTTAGAGTGCAAATGCCTGGGAGAACGGAAGCACTCAGATCTCGCATAGTACACGGAATCTAGTGGTCTCACTCAAATAGACGGTAGGAAATATATTCATCTAGTGAACGTAACGGTTTGAAAGGTAACTAACGCACATGTGTAGAGAAAATGGTGCATCGGCCAGTCTGGCTGACATTTCGCACTTATAGTGCAAGTGGGGCAGGGAGAACGGAAACGCTCGTTTCTCAAAAAGTAGAGGGAATCTAGCGGTCTCACTCGATCAAAAGATGGAAAATATATAAATCTAGTCAGCTAAAAAGGTTTGAAAGGTATCTAACGCACATGTATAGAGAAAATGGTGCATTGGCCAGGTCAGTCAATATCGAAACTTAAAATGCAAATGCCAGGGAGAACGGAAACGCTCAGATCTCGCAAAGTACACGGAATCTAGTGGTCTCACTCAAATAGAAGGTAGGAAATGCATTCATCTAGTAAACGTACGGGTTTGAAAGGTAACTAACGCACATGTATAGAGACAATGGTGCATCGGCCAGTCTGGCCGGCATTTCGCACTTATAGTGCAAGTAGGGCCAGGGAGAACGGAAACGCTCATTTCTCAAAAAGTAAAGGGAATCTAGCGGTCTCACTCGATCAGAAGGTGGGAAATATATAAATATAGTGAGCTAATAAGGTTCAAAAGATATCTAATGCACATTTATATGGAAAATAGTGCATTGACCAGGTCGGTCAGTATGGAAACTTAAAATGCAAAGGCCAGGGAGAACGGAAGCGCTCAGATCTCGCATAGTAAACGGAATCTAGTGGTCTCACTCAAAAAGAAAGTAGGAAATGTATTCATTTAGTGAATGTAAGGGTTTGAAAGGTAACTAACGCACATGTGTAGAGAAAAGGGTGCATCGGGCGGTCTGGCCGGCATTTCGCACTTTTAGTGCAAGTAGGGTCAGGGAGAACGGAAACGCTCATTTCTCAAAAATTAAAGGGAATCTAGCGGTCTCACTCGATTAGAAGTTGGGAAATATATAAATCTAGTGAGCTAATAAGGTTCAAAAGGTATCTAATGCACATTTATATGGAAAATAGTGCATTGGCCAGGTCGGTCAGTATGGGAACTTAATATGCAAATGCCAGGGAGAACGGAAGCGCTCAGATCTTGCATAGTACACGGAATCTAGTGGTCTCACTCAAATTGAAGGTAGGAAATATATTCATCTAGTGAACGTAACGCTTTGAAAGGTAACTAACACACATGTGTAGAGAAAATGGTGCATCGGCCAGTCTAGCCGGCATTTCGCACTTATAGTGCAAGTGGGGCTAGGGAGACGGAAATGTGAAAGAAAGAACGAGAATGAATGAACTATGAATGAAGTGAGTACAAATATGAAACCCTAATTGGGTTGTACCCCCTATGGGATACCCCACTATAGCCTACACAAATAAGTAAGCTATAATGTTCTGACACACCCTCATAGGCAAAGTGGGGGAGAACAAGGGGTCACAAGACCAGTCAAACAAAGCAAAGCAAAGCTCAGGGTGGATCACAAAGTCACAACACATTCCGAGCACAAGTTCAAGGGCCACAAGGCCAGTTCACATGCAAGATCATATATAGAGATATACAAGAGTCAAGGAAACAAGAGCAAGAGTATATAGAGGTCAAGGTACAAGCAAGGTCAAGACGTGAGTAAGTGAGGCAAGACAGGCACAAGACCTAGCTGCGTGCAGCAACGCTGATGATCACAAGGCGCAAGTGCCTTGGTGAAGACATCAGCAGTGTTGGCCTCAGAGGCCACGTACGCAAGTCGCAACTGTCCACGCTGCTGTAGCTCACGAGCAAGAAAGTAGCGGAGAGCAATGTGCTTTGTCTTGTGCTCCTGTCGCTGCTCTGGACACAAGGCCAGCATGGCCTTGTTGTCTACGTACAGGACTGGAGGAGAACGTCCACGTCCAAGTCCACGTCCACGTCCAAGTCCACGTCCACGACCACGTCCACGTCCACATCCACGTCCAAGTCCACGTCCACGTCCAAGTCCACGTCCACGTCCACGTCCAAATCCAAGTCCACGTCCATGACCACGTCCACGTCCACGTCCACGACCACGTCCACGTCCACGACCACGTCCATGTCCACGTCCACGACCACGTCCACGACCACGTCCATGTCCACGTCCAAGTCCACGTCCACGTCCACGTCCACGTCCACGTCCCAGTCCACGACCACGTCCACGTCTACGTCCACGTCCACGTCCTCCACGTCCACGTCCACGTCCAGGTCCACGTCCAAGTCCACGTCCACGACCACGTCCACGACCACGACCACATCCACGTCCACGACCACGTCCACGACCACGTCCACGTCCACGTCCACGTCCACGTCCACGACCACGTCCACGACCACGTCCACGTCCACGTCCACGTCCAAGTCCATGTCCACGTCCACGTCCACGTCCACGTCCACGACCACGTCCATGTCCACGTCCACGACCACGTCCACGTCCACGTCCAAGTCCACGTCCAAGTCCACGTCCACGTCCAAGTCCACGTCCACGTCCAAGTCCACGTCCACGTCCAAGTCCACGACCACGACCACGTCCACGTCCACGTCCACGTCCAGGTCCACGTCCATGACCACGACCACGTCCACGTCCAAGTCCACGTCCACGTCCACGACAACGTCCACGACCACGTCCACGACCACGTCCACGTCCACGTCCAAGTCCACGTCTACGTCCACGTCCACGACCACGTCCACGTCTACGACCACGTCCACGTCCAAGTCCACATCCACGTCAAGGTCCACGTCCATGTCCACGTCCACATCCACGTCCACGACCACGTCCACGTCCAAGTCCACGTCCACATCCACGTCCAAGTCCACGTCGACGTCCACGTCCACGACCACGTCCAGGTCCACGACCACGTCCAGGTCCACGTCCAGGTCCACGTCCACGTCCACGATCACGTCCACATCCACGTCCACGACCAGCTCCACGTCCAGGTCCACGTCCACGTCCACGTCCACATCCAGGACCACATCCACGTCCAAGTCCACGTGCACGTCCAAGTCCACGTCCACGTCCACGTCCAAGTCCACGTCCAAGTCCACGTCCACGTCCACGTCCAAGTCCACGTCCACGTCCACGTCCAAGTCCACGTCCAAGTCCACGTCCACGTCCACGTCCAAATCCACGTCCACGTCCACGTCCACGTCCACGTCCAAGTCCACGTCCAAGTCCACGTCCACGTCCACGTCCACGTCCAAGTCCACGTCCACGTCCACGTCCTCGTCCAAGTCCACGTCCACGTCCAAGTCCAAGTCCACGTCCACGTCCAAGTCCACGTCCACGTCCACGTCCAAGTCCACGTCCAAGTCCACGTCCACGTCCACGTCCAAATCCACGTCCACGTCCACGTCCACGTCCAAGTCCACGTCCAAGTCCACGTCCACGTCCACGTCCAAGTCCACGTCCACGTCCACGTCCAAGTCCACGTCCAAGTCCACGTCCACGACCACGTCCACGTCCACGTCCAAGTCCACATCCACGTCCACGTCCACGTCCAAGTCCACGTCCACGTCCAAGTCCACGTCCACGACCAAGTCCACGTCCACGACCAAGTCCACGTCCACGACCACGTGCACGTCCACGACCAAGTCCACGTCCACGTCCACGACCACGTCCACGTCCACGTCCACGTCCAAGTCCACGTCCACGTCCACGTCCACGTCCAAGTCCACGTCCACGTCCACGTCCACGTCCAAGTCCACGTCCACGTCCAAGTCCACGTCCACGACCACGTCCACGTCCACGTCCACGTCCAGGACCACGTCCACGTCCAAGTCCACGTGCACGTCCAAGTCCACGTCCACGTCCACGTCCAAGTCCACGTCCAAGTCCACGTCCACGTCCACGTCCAAGTCCACGTCCACGTCCACGTCCAAGTCCACGTCCAAGTCCACGTCCACGTCTACGTCCACGTCCAAATCCACGTCCACGTCCACGTCCAAGTCCACGTCCAAGTCCACGTCCACATCCACGTCCAAGTCCACGTCCACGTCCACGTCCAAGTCCACGTCCACGTCCAAGTCCACGTCCACGACCACGTCCAAGTCCACGTCCACGTCCATGACCAAGTCCACATCCACGTCCACGTCCACGTCCAAGTCCACGTCCACGTCCAAGTCCACGTCAACGTCCAATTCCACGTCCACGACCACGTCCACGTCCACGTCCACGTCCACGACCACGACCACGTCCACGTCCACGTCCACGACCACGTCCACGTCCACGTCCACGACCACGTCCACGACCACGACCACGTCCACGACCACGTCCACGTCCACGTCCACGACCACGTCCACGTCCACGTCCAAGTCCATGTCCACGTCCACGTCCACGACCACGTCCACGTCCACGTCCACGACCACGTCCACGACCACGTCCACGTCCACGTCCAAGTCCATGTCCACGTCCACGTCCCAGTCCACGACCACGTCCATGTCCACGTCCACGTCCACGTCCACGTCCTCCACGTCCACGTCCACGTCCATGACCACGTCCACGTCTACGTCCACGACCACGTCCACGTCCACGACCACGTCCACGTCCACGTCCACGTCCACGACCACGTCCACGACCACGTCCACGTCCACGACCAAGTCCACGTCCACGACCACGTCCACGTCCACGTCCACGTCCACGTCCCAGTCCACGACCACGTCCACGTCCACATCCACGTCCTCCACGTCCACGTCCACGTCCACGTCCAGGTCCACGTCCAAGTCCACGTCCACGTCCACGACCACGTCCACGACCACGACCACGTCCACGTCCACGACCACGTCCACGTCCACGACCACGTCCACGACCACGTCCACGTCCACGTCCAAGTCCATGTCCACGTCCACGTCCACGACCACGTCCATGTCCACGTCCACGACCACGTCCACGTCCACGTCCAAGTCCACGTCCAAGTCCACGTCCACGTCCAAGTCCACGTCCACGTCCAAGTCCACGTCCAAGTCCACGACCACGACCACCTCCACGTCCACGTTCAGGTCCACGTCCATGACCACGACCACGTCCACGTCCAAGTCCACGTCCACGTCCACGTCCACGACCACGTCCACGACCACGTCCACGTCCAAGTCCACGTCCACGTCCACGTCCACGACCACGTCCACGTCTACGACCACGTCCACGTCTATGTCCACGTCCATGTCCGCATCCACGTTCAAGTCCACGTCCATGTCCACGTCCACATCCACGTCCACGACCACGTCCACATCCAAGTCCACGTCCACATCCACGTCCAAGTCCACGTCGACGTCCACGTCCACGACCACGTCCAGGTCCACGACCACGTCCACGTCCACGTCCAGGTCCACGTCCACGTCCACGACCACGTCCACATCCACGTCCACGACCAGCTCCACGTCCAGGTCCACGTCCACGTCCACGTCCAGGACCACGTCCACGTCCAAGTCCACGTGCACGTCCAAGTCCACGTCCACGTCCACGTCCAAGTCCACGTCCAAGTCCACGTCCACGTCCACGTCCAAGTCCACGTCCACGTCCACGTCCAAGTCCACGTCCAAGTCCACGTCCACGTCTACGTCCACGTCCAAATCCACGTCCACGTCCACGTCCAAGTCCACGTCCAAGTCCACGTCCACGTCCACGTCCAAGTCCACGTCCACGTCCACGTCCAAGTCCACGTCCACGTCCAAGTCCATGTCCACGACCACGTCCAAGTCCACGTCCACGTCCATGACCAAGTCCACATCCACGTCCACGTCCACGTCCAAGTCCACGTCCACGTCCAAGTCCACGTCAACGTCCAATTCCACGTCCACGACCACGTCCACGTCCACGTCGACGACCACGACCACGTCCACGTCCACGTCCACGACCACGTCCACGTCCACGACCACGTCCACGACCACGACCACGTCCACGACCACGTCCACGTCCACGTCCACGACCACGTCCACGTCCACGTCCAAGTCCATGTCCACGTCCACGTCCACGACCACGTCCACGTCCACGTCCACGACCACGTCCACGACCACGTCCACGTCCACGTCCAAGTCCATGTCCACGTCCACGTCCACGTCCTAGTCCACGACGACGTCCATGTCCACGTCCACGTCCACGTCCACGTCCTCCACGTCCACGTCCACGTCCATGTCCACGTCCACGTCCACGTCAACGTCCAAATCCAAGTCCACGTCCATGACCACGTCCACGTCCACGTCCACGACCACGTCCACGTCCACGACCACGTCCACGACCACGTCCACGACCACGTCCACGTCCACGTCCACGACCACGTCCACGACCACGTCCACGTCCACGACCACGTCCACGTCCACGTCCACGTCCACGTCCACGACCACGTCCATGTCCACGTCCACGTCCACGTCCAGGACCACGTCCACGTCCACGTCCATGTCCACGTCCACGTACAGGTCCACGTCCACGTCCAAGTCCACGTCCACGTCCAAGTCCACGTCCACGTCCACGTCCAAATCCAAGTCCACGTCCATGACCACGTCCACGTCCACGACCACGTCCACGTCCACGACCACGTCCACGTCCACGTCCACGACCACGTCCACGTCCACGTCCACGACCACGTCCACGACCACGACCACGTCCACGACCACGTCCACGTCCACGTCCACGACCACGTCCATGTCCACGTCCAGGTCCACGTCCACGTCCACGTCCACGACCACGTCCACGTCCACGTCCAAGTCCATGACCACGTCCACGACCACGTCCATGTCCACGTCCAAGTCCATGTCCACGTCCAAGTCCATGTCCACGTCCACGTCCACGTCCACGACCACGTCCACGTCCACCTCCATGACCACGTCCACGTCCATGTCCACGTCCACGTCCACGTCCACGTCCACATCCATGTCCACGTCCATGTCCACGTCCACGTCTATGTCCACGTCCACGTCCACGTCCACGTCCATGTCCACGTCCACGACCACGTCCACGTCCACGTCCACGTCCACGTCCACGACCACGTCCACCACGTCCACGTCCATGTCCACGTCCACGTCCACGTCCACGTCCACGTCCACGTCCACGTCCACGTCCATGTCCACGTCCATGTCCACGTCCACGTCCACGTCCACGACCACGACCACGTCCACGACCACGTCCATGTCCACGTCCATGTCCACGACCACCACCACGTCCACGTCCACGTCCACGTCCACGTCCACGACCACGTCCACGTCCACCTCCACGTCCACCTCCTCGTCCACGTCCACGTCCACGTCCACGTCCAGGTCCACGTCCACGTCCATGTCCACGTCCACGTCCACGTCCACGTCCATGTCCATGTCCACGTCCACGACCACGTACACGTCCACGTCCATGTCCACGTCCACGTCCACGTCCATGTCCACGTCCACGTCCACGTCCATGTCCACGTCCACGTCCACGTCCACGTCCACCTCGACGTCCATGTCCACGTCCACGTCCATGTCCACGTCCATGTCCACGTCCACGTCTACGTCCACGTCCATGTCCACGTCCACGTCCACGTCCATGTACACGTTCACGACCATGTCCACGTCCACGTCCACGTCCACGTCCACGTCCACGTTCACGTCCATGTCCACGTCCACGTCCACGTCCACGTCCACGTCCATGTCCACGTCCACGTCCACGTCCATGTTCACGACCATGTCCACGTCCACGTCCACGTCCACGTCCACGTCCCTGGCCACGTTCACGTCCATGTCCACGTCCACGTCCACGTCTACGTACACGTCCACGTCTACGTCCACGTCCATGTCCATGTCCACGTCCACGTCCATGTCCACGTCCACGTCCATGTCCACGACCACGTCCACGTCCACGTCCACGTCCACGTCCAGGTCCACGTCCACCACGTCCACGTCCACCTCCACCTCCACGTCCACCTCCACGACCACGACCACGTCCACGTCCACGTCCACGTCCACGTCCACGTTCACGACCATGTCCACGTCCACGTCCACGTCCACGTCCATGTCCACGTCCATGTCCACGTTCACGACCATGTCCACGTCCACGTCCACGTCCATGTCCATGTCCACGTTCACGACCACGTCCACGTCCATGTCTACGTCCACGTCCACGTCCACGTCCACGTCCATGTCCACGTTCACGACCATGTCCACGTCCACGTCCATGTCCACGTCCACGTCCACGTCCATGTCCACGTCCACGTCCACGTCCACGTCTACGTCCACGTCCAAGTCCACGTCCACGTCCAAGTCCACGTCAACGTCCAATTCCACGTCCACGACCACGTCCACGTCCACGTCCACGTCCAAGTCCACGTCCACGTCCACGTCCACGTCCACGACCACGTCCACGTCCACGTCCACGTCCACGTCCACGACCACGTCCACGACCACGTCCACGTCCACGTCCAAGTCCATGTCCACGTCCACGTCCACGTCCCAGTCCACGACCACGTCCACGTCCACGTCCACGTCCTCCAAGTCCACGTCCACGTCCAAGTCCACGTCCACGTCAACGTCCAAATCCAAGTCCACGTCCATGACCACGTCCACGTCCACGTCCACGACCAAGTCCACGTCCACGACCACGTCCACGTCCACGTCCACGACCACGTCCACGTCCACGTCCACGACCACGTCCATGACCACGACCACGTCCACGTCCACGACCACGACCACGTCCACGTCCACGTCCACGACCACGTCCATGTGCACGTCCACGTCCACGTCCAGGACCACGTCCACGTCCACGTCCAAATCCAAGTCCACGTCCACGTCCACGTCTACGTCCACGACCACGTCCATGACCACGTCCACGTCCACGTCCACGTCCACGTCCAGGTCCACGTCCACGTCCAAGTCCAAATCCAAGTCCACGTCCATGACCACGTCCACGTCCACGTCCACGACCACGTCCACGTCCACGACCACGTCCACCTCCACGTCCACGACCACGTCCACGTCCACGTCCACGACCACGTCCACGACCACGACCACGTCCACGTCCACGACCACGTCCACGTCCACGTCCACGACCACGTCCACGTCCACGTTCAAGTCCATGTCCACGTCCACGTCCACGTCCACGACCATGTCCATGTCCACGTCCAAGTCCAAGTCCACGTCCACGTCCAAGTCCATGTCCACGTCCACGTCCACGTCCATGTCCACGACCATGTCCATGTCCACGACCATGTCCACGTCCACGTCCATGTCCACGTCCACGTCCACGACCATGTCCATGTCCATGTCCATGTCCACGTCCACGTCCACGTCCAAGTCCATGTCCACGTCCACGTCCACGTCCACGTCCATGTCTACGTCCACGTCCACGTCCACGTCCATGTCCACGTTCACGACCATGTCCACGTCCACGTCCACGTCCATGTCCACGTCCACGTCCATGTCCACGTCCACGTCCATGTCTACGTCCACGTCCACGTCCACGTCCATGTCCACGTTCACGACCATGTCCACGTCCACGTCCACGTCCATGTCCACGTCCACGTCCACGTCCATGTCCACGTCCACGTCCACGTCCACGTCTACGTCCACGTCCAAGTCCACGTCCACGTCCAAGTCCACGTCAACGTCCAATTCCACGTCCACGACCACGTCCACGTCCACGTCAACGTCCAAGTCCACGTCCACGTCCACGTCCACGTCCACGACCACGTCCACGTCCACGTCCACGTCCACGACCACGTCCACGACCACGTCCACGTCCACGTCCAAGTCCATGTCCATGTCCACGTCCACGTCCCAGTCCACGACCACGTCCACGTCCACGTCCACGTCCACGTCCTCCACGTCCACGTCCACGTCCAAGTCCACGTCCACGTCCAAGTCCACGTCTACGTCAACGTCCAAATCCAAGTCCACGTCCATGACCACGTCCACGTCCACGTCCACGACCAAGTCCACGTCCACGACCACGTCCACGTCCACGTCCACGACCACGTCCACGTCCACGTCCACGACCACGTCCATGACCACGACCACGTCCACGTCCACGACCACGACCACGTCCACGTCCACGTCCACGACCACGTCCATGTGCACGTCCACGTCCACGTCCAGGACCACGTCCACGTCCACGTCCAAATCCAAGTCCACGTCCATGACCACGTCTACGTCCACGACCACGTCCATGACCACGTCCACGTCCACGTCCACGTCCACGTCCAGGTCCACGTCCACGTCCAAGTCCAAATCCAAGTCCACGTCCATGACCACGTCCACGTCCACGTCCACGACCACGTCCACGTCCACGACCACGTCCACCTCCACGTCCACGACCACGTCCACGTCCACGTCCACGACCACGTCCACGACCACGACCACGTCCACGTCCACGACCACGTCCACGTCCACGTCCACGACCACGTCCACGTCCACGTTCAAGTCCATGTCCACGTCCACGTCCACGTCCACGACCATGTCCATGTCCACGTCCAAGTCCAAGTCCACGTCCACGTCCAAGTCCATGTCCACGTCCACGTCCACGTCCATGTCCACGACCATGTCCATGTCCACGACCATGTCCACGTCCACGTCCATGTCCACGTCCACGTCCACGACCATGTCCATGTCCATGTCCATGTCCACGTCCACGTCCACGTCCAAGTCCATGTCCACGTCCACGTCCACGTCCACGTCCACGACCATGTCCATGTCCACGTCCACGTCCAAGTCCATGTCCACGTCCACGACCACGTCCACGTCCACGTCCACGTCCAAGTCCACGACCACGTCCACGACCACGTCCACGTCCACGTCCACGACCACGTCCATGTCCACGTCCATGTCCACGTCCATGTCCACGTCCATGTCCACGTCCAAGTCCAAGTCCACGTCCACGTCCACGTCCACGTCCACGTCCACGTCCACGTCCAAGTCCACGACCACGTCCACGACCACGACCACGTCCATGTCCACGTCCATGTCTACGTCCACGTCTACGTCCACGTCCACGTCCATGTCCACGTCCACGTCCATGTCCACGTTCACGACCATGTCCACGTCCACGTCCACGTCCACGTCCCTGTCCACGTTCACGTCCATGTCCACGTCCACGTCCACGTCCACGACCACGTCCACGACCACGTCCACGACCACGTCCACGTCCATGTCCATGTCCACGTCCATGTCCACGTACACGACCACGTCCATGTCCACGTCCACGTGCACGTCCACGTCCATGTCCACGTCCACGACCACGTCCACGTCCACGTCCACGTCCACGTCCACGACCACGTCCACCACGTCCACGTCCATGTCCATGTCCACGTCCACGTCCACGTCCATGTCCACGTCCATGTCCACGTCCACGTCCACGTCCACGTCCACGACCACGACCACGTCCACGACCACGTCCATGTCCACGTCCATGTCCACGACCACGACCACGTCCACGTCCACGTCCACGTCCACCTCCACGTCCACCTCCACGTCCACGTCCACGTCCACGTCCACGTCCAGGTCCACGTCCACGTCCACGTCCACGTCCACGTCCATGTCCATGTCCACGTCCATGACCACGTCCACGTCCACGTCCATGTCCACGTCCACGTCCACGTCCATGTCCACGTCCACGTCCACGTCCATGTCCACGTCCACGTCCACGTCCACGTCCACGTCCACGTCCACGTCCACGTCCACATCGACGTCCATGTCCACGTCCATGTCCACGTCCATGTCCACGTCCACGTCTACGTCCACGTCCACGTCCATGTCCACGTCCACGTCCACGTCCATGTCCACGTTCACGACCATGTCCACGTCCACGTCCACGTCCACGTCCACGTCCCTGTCCACGTTCACGTCCATGTCCACGTCCACGTCCACGTCCACGTCCACGTCCACGTCCACGTCCCTGTCCACGTCCACGTCCACGTTCACGACCATGTCCACGTCCACGTCCACGTCCACGTCCACGTCCAAGTCCACGTCCACGTCCACAACCATGTCCACGTCCACGCCCACGTCCTCGTCCATGTCCACGTCCACGTCCATGTCCATGTCCACGTCCACGTCCACGTCCACTTCCACGTCCATGTCCACGTCCACGTCTACGTCCACGTCCATGTCTACGTCCACGTCCACGTCTACGTCCACTTCCATGTCCACGTCCACGTCCACGTCCACGTCCATGTCCACGTCCACGTCCATGTCCACGTCAACGACCACGTCCACGTCCACGTCAACGTCCATGTCCACGTCCACGTCCACCACGTCCACGTCCATGTCCACGTCCACGTCCACCTCCACGTCCACGTCCACGTCCACGTCCACGTCCACCTCCACGTCCACGTCCACGACCAGTCCACGTCCACGTCCACGTCCACGTCCACGTCCAGGTCCACGTCCACGTCCAGTCCACGTCCACGTCCACGTCCACGTCCATGTCCATGTCCATGTCCACGTCCATGACCACGTCCACGTCCACGTCCATGTCCACGTCCACGTCCACGTCCACGTCCACGTCCACGTCCACGTCCACGTCCACGTCCACGTCCACGTCGACGTCCATGTCCACGTCCATGTCCACGTCCACGTCCACGTCCATGTCCACGTCCACGTCCACGTCCATGTCCACGTCCACGTCCATGTCCACGTTCACGACCATGTCCACGTCCACGTCCACGTCCACGTCCCTATCCACGTTCACGACCATGTCCATGTCCACGTCCACGTCCATGACCACGTCCACGTCCACGTCCATGTCTACGACCACGTCCACGTCCACGTCCATGTCCACGTCCATGTCCACGTCCATGTCCACGTCCACGTCCACGTCCACGTCCACGTCCACGTCCATGTCCACGACCACGTCCACGTCCACGACCACGTCCACGTACACCTCCACGTCCACCTCCACGTCCACGTCCACGTCCACGTCCATGTCCATGTCCACGTTTACGACCATGTCCACATCCATGTCCATGTCCACGTCCATGTCCACGTCCACGTCCATGTCCTCGTCCACATCCACGTCCACGTCCATGTCCACGTCCACGTCCATGTCCACGTTCACGACCATGTCCACGTCCACCTCCACGTCCACCTCCACGTCCACCTCCACGTCCACGTCCACGTCCACGTCCATGTCCATGTCCACGTTCACGACCACGTCCACGTCCACGTCCACGTCCACGTCCACGTCCATGTCCATGTCCACGTCCACGTCCACGTCCACGTCCACGTCCACGTCCACGTCCATGTCCACGTCCACGTCCATGTCCACGTCCACGTCCACGTCCACGTCCACGTCCACCTCCACGTCCACCTCCACGTCCACCTCCACGTCCACGTCCACGTCCACGTCCACGTCCATGTCCATGTCCACGTTCACGACCACGTCCACGTCCACGTCCACGTCCACGTCCACGTCCATGTCCATGTCCACGTCCACGTCCACGTCCACGTCCACGTCCACGTCCACGTCCACGTCCACGTCCATGTCCACGTTCACGTCCATGTCCACGTTCACGACCATGTCCACGTCCACCTCCACGTCCACCTCCACGTCCACCTCCACGTCTACGTCCACGTCCATGTCCATGTCCACGTTCACGACCACGTCCACGTCCACGTCCACGTCCACGTCCATGTCCACGTCCACGTCCACGACCACGTCCACGTCCACGTCCACGTCCACGTCCACGTCCACGTCCATGTCCATGTCCACGTCCACGTCCACGTCTACGTCCACGTCCACGTCCACGTCTACGTCCACGTCCACGTCCATGTCCACGTCCACGTCCACGTCCACGTCCACGTCCACGTCCACGTCCACGTCCACGTCCACGTCCATTTGCACACGTCCACGTCCACGTCCATCGTCCACGTCCACGTCCAATGTCCACCTCCACGTCCACGTCCATTGTCCACCTCCACGTCCACGTCCAAGTCCACGTCCACGTGTCCACGTCCACGCCCACGTCCTCGTCCATGTCCACGTCCACGTCCATGTCCATGTCCACGTCCACGTCCACGTCCACTTCCACGTCCATGTCCACGTCCACGTCTACGTCCACGTCCACGTCCACGTCCACGTCCACGTCCACGTCCACCTCCACGTCCACGTCCACGTCCACGTCCACGTCCACGTCCACGTCCATGTCCACGTCCACGTCCATGTCCACGTCCACGTCCACGTCCACGTCCACGTCCATGTCCACGGTCCACGTCCACGTCCACGTCCACTTCCCACGCATGCGCATGTCCACGTCCACGTCCCGTCCCCCTCCACGTCCACGTCCAAGTCCACGTCCACGTCCAACGTCCAAAGTCCACGTCCACGTTCCACGGTCCACGTCCACGTCCACGTCCACGTCCACGTCCACGTCCACGTCCAAGTCCACGTCCATGTCCACGTCCACGTCCACGTCCATGTCCACGTCCACGTCCCTGTCCACGTCCACGTCCATGTCCACGTCCACGTCCACGTCCACGTCCACGTTCCATGTCCACGTCCACGTCCACGTCCACGTCCACGTCCATGTCCATGTCCACGTCCACGTCCATGTCCACCTCCACGTCCACGTCCAAGTCCACGTCCACGTCCACAACCATGTCCACGTCCACGCCAACGTCCTCGTCCA